GCGCTTCCCGCCGGCGCTCAGGCGGCCAGTGCGAGCCGGGGCCGCCGGCTCCTCCCCCGCCGCCGCCTGCTGAAACCCCGGCAGAAATTTCATCATGCGCCTCCCCGCCCGCCATGCGGCCTCGTGCCTGCGCGCCCCGCGCGCGCGGCCCCTGTCCCTGCACCTGCCCCTGCCCCTCTCCCTGCCCCTGCCCCTGCCCCTCTCCCTGCCCCTGCCCCTCTCCCTGCCCCTGCCCCTCTCCCTGCCCCTGCTCCCGTCCCTGGGCCCGGAGCCGCCTCAGCAAGTCAATGAACATGTCAATCCGGGTGAACGGAACATGTCAATCCGGGTGGAACTCAGCCCTGAAGACAGGGAAGGGAAGAATTAAATACAGAGCCGCCCGCACGCATCCCAAGGGGATCCTGGTGGCTTAAAGCTGCCTAAAGGTCTCAGGTTGTGAAGATCGCCCAGCACCACGAGGTCAGCGTGTAAGAGGTTTAGGGAGTCCTTAAAAGGAATTTACTAAGGCTTCAGGAAGCAAAAGTGTGATTAAGATGAAGCTAAAATCCTTCTGGGACCTTCATTTTATGTGTGATTCCGGGTTCATATCTCTTACAGCAGGAAACCGCAGACCATTCGGCTACAGTTGGGTGCGGAAGCCGAAGCGAGGGGGGAAGAATCAACTTGCACAAAGTTGCCCGGGAGCGTGGGCAAAGCTTGTGCACGCCTGCAACGTTGGGATAGCGGCCACACATCCTCACTGTCCTCTCTGCTCCCTCCCTTTTAAAAATAGTGTGGGGAGAACTGCATCGTTTTGCCATGCTTCATCCTTTCATGTCTTGCATGCTTCAACTCCACCTTTACTCCCTTGAAGCTGGTTTTAGCAGTACGCTGTTTCTTTTCCCATTTTGGTTGGAGAGAATTTAAGTTGATGCTAGCTGGGTGGAGAAAATGTGTTTGAACGTAAATATTGGTTGCCTGGGATTGCCAAGAGGCTTTGAGTAATCTGCTCAGTGCCTAAACATTACCGTGTGGCCATAGGCTAAACCCATTTAAGACTAGCGGGAAAAACACAGTGAGAAAATTCGTGACCTGTCATTAATTAACTATCTCAGGTTATTAAAAAAAAAAAGGGGGGGGGGAGGCAGTAACTTTGATATGATATTTCTGTACTGGATTTGGTGTGGGACACGTGTGTCTACTGACATGTCTCACTGGACCTTCATCTGCCCATCACACTGGCCCTTTAACTAGTCCCTGCTTGTTTGCTTCCCCATTTCTGTCTTCCAGGACCAGTCTTTACAAAGCCCTTCTTTGCAAGTAGGCTCAGATCTGCTTTCCTGCTTCTTTTGATGCTTGCCAGGCTTAGCCTTTGGCTGCCACTTTCCCAGATTGGGACTAGTAATTACAGTCATCGTTTTGGGCTGCTCTGAACTTCTGAGTGCTGCTCAGTTAAGAGTTATAACCAAGTTAAGGTTAGTACTAATGAAGATAATAGACTGTATGTTGCTGAGACAGGAATCCTCTTGGTCAGGGTTGCTGCAGCGCCTGCTGGGCTTAGGTGGACGTGTTGGGCCTGCCGGGACTTGGGGGTGCAGGATCTGTGCAGGGCCCAAGTGCTCTCATGTAGGCCTGTCTTCCCAGCCTAGACTGCAGCACAGCAACCAGGAGTGCACAGCTGTAGCTACAGCGCTACAGCAGGCTGACACAGTGTCAGACATGGATAATAGAGGACAATATCAGATACTCTGAAACCAAGAGACTGTGCACATGCTACAGAGGGAAACCAGGTCACATTCTGTCTTATCTCAAAGTGCTAACACCCATTACAAAAACCTGGTTTGCACAGGTTGGGTGTTACTTCTGTTCTGTGTCTTTGGACTTCTTGGAGCACAAGCCAGAATAAGTTGCTGTTCCCAGTGCTGGCCCAGCTACTCTGCTAGGCAGAGCGAATGACCTAAGAGATAAAATTCTTCTGTAAGAGAGGAGGAGAATAAAATTGTAGTGGAAGTCACTGGGAAACAAAGGAGAGATTCTGTGTCTCCTGTGGTCTAGAATCTCTTTGCCAGATAGTTGGGATCCAGAATATTGTCTGGCTGTCACTAGTGCTGGAGAAGTTCATCTCTTTYTGACAATGCTAGTCATCAGTGATTTAGGAATATCTAGCTGGAAAAGACCCAGGTTATCCATGCCATTTTTCCTTCATGTGCCCTACTTAGCCTAATGGAGGCTTGTGGGGTTAGTGTGGCACTCTGTCATACAGCAGGGACTGAAGCTTCTTGCCTCCAAAGTGGGGCGTCTGCTCAGAAATAACAGTGGAGAGGGACTCCGTGCTTGCCAAATTAATGAAGACTAATATTAGTGATAAAACAGCACTTTGTATCTTTCTTATTAGAGAGGGAACTAGAGATTGTCCTTTTTTTTTTTTTTTTCTTTTTTTTTCTTATTTTAATCTAAGTCTTTTGGCACTCAGGCCAGACAACAAAGGATGTGGTTATGTGTCATAGGTTTGTAGGTGACAAAATGGCCACCATACATTGAGGGTATGAGATTGCTGACGTGAAAACCTAGGAAGTTTCAACAAGTAAATGAGCAAATGAGTTAGAGTGAGCCGGTACAATGCAGAAGGAGAGCAGCAAGCCAAGGCAGGGCATTACTGGGAGCCACTGGGTTTATGGACAGTTTGTAGAGAAGGTAGGGGACAAACCCCAAGGGAGAGAAGTTTGRCCAAGTGCCTCAAACCTTCTCATCCTACCCTTCCTGAGGCCCAGCCTTTGTGTCTGAGCTAACTCATATTCCGTGGACTCCTCCCTGTGGACAATTTGCATCAGCTCCCTGTGAATACCCTCCCTCCTGGGATTTTGAAGAACAGTCGGCAGTCATTCCAGGCTGTGGTTTCCTCCCAGTGAGCTTTCAGACTTGGTGTTCGGAACACGCTGTATCTTTTAATGTAGCTGTCGTGGCCCTGTTACTGTTAAGCTGAGCTGGTAACTGCTGGTAGTGGAGCATTGCTCATAACTGAGGTCCTCTTTGGTTTTCATTAGAGCTTAGCTGTTTTCCTGCCCGGAGGGGAGCAGGGATATGTGCCCTATCCACAGCCCTTGTGCAGCAGCAGCAGACATAATTTGCTTTGCACCCAATGTCCATTTTTAGCCTGGGCCAGCTATTCTTCATCTGACCTTGGACACAGCCTACATTGCAGTAGCGTTTTTTTCCCACTCCTGTCCTGAATGATTTGTAATGGAGCCATGGGAATCAGATTTAAGTTTCCAGATGCCTCATACTGTGCTTTCTACTCCCAATGACTGAAGCTTTTGCTCATGAATTGAGCAGGGCACAGATCACCAAGAATCCTGTCTTCTCTAGTTTTATTTTTCTCTTCTGGTGATGCCCTTTCTGTGGTGTGTTTGTAGGACAACACTTTGCCACATGTCAAGCCTGACAAAACGGGTCTGCTACCGTAATTTGTTCATGTTTGTCAACACCCACAAATCACATGGCACYGAAGTTCCTCTACTGCACTTCATCCATTTACATCTCCTGTATGCACGCCATGATAAACTATAATGTCATTCTGGGTGCAGGGAGTGACAATATGGCCTTTTTTATGCCAGAAAAGAGTCATTTTTGAGAGGTGCTCATTTTTGAGCTGCTAACTGGGTTAAATCTTTGGTTATTACATTTAAGATCTCAGGCAGAACTGTGCTTTAATCTCTATGTCTGAGTGGAGAAAAAAAAAGTAGAGAAACTGTCAAATTTAAAAGTTGTTTTGAAAGCTGTAGCTTCAACTGAGATAGCCCCTCACTTGTGTCATTTAGGTACTAACAGGACTGCACCACGTTTCGAAGTGCTCTGACAATGCAACCTT